AGATAAGGTTAAAAAAAAAAAAACCTGAAAAATTTTCATCATTTGTTTCAACCAACCTATCTCAAGGCCTTAGAAAATAGCGTCGAAGTTCACTTTGTAAAGCACGATTAATGATAAATGTGATGAAGGCTTTTCCCGGATTAAAACACAAACTTTAGAAAAGTGTGTTATATAACAAAAAATAGCGGGTGTTACTATCTTTCAAACGCAACATTCTAGAATTTGCTTCAATACCTGAAGTATCCATCGCTTTAAAAAAAAAAGCATCGTCGTGTTAGAAGTCGGCTTCCTATCGCGATGTTAAAGGCATGCCTATTATATAGTATAGTCTATCCGTTTATGCGTAAGTAATTTAATCTTACATTGTATAGACATCATGATCCCTTAACAATGTAGTGTCAGATATAACTCGTAGCTTTTTTCTCTCTCTCGTTAGATCCCTTATATGAATTGACAGAAATAAAAAAAGTCGCCACTTTTTGTTTGCCAGTTAATGCCAACTTTTTCCAATTCCGGCAAGTAGATATACATATAAATATGCAGCAAAACGCAGACATATGTATACTCTCATAGGAAAACGAATAAGTTTGTTTGCGAGCTTACAACGCAAAAATCCGGGGCTCGGTTCCCTGAGGTAGACAGCCCATCGTGTAGTTTTGCACTAATCCCCGAGGTAGACAGCCCGTTGTATAGTTTTGCACTAATCTCCTAGGTAGACAGTCCATTGTGTAGTTTTGCACTAATTCCCGAGGTAGACAGCCCATCGTGTAGTTTTGCACTAATCCCCGAGGTAGACAGCCCCCTGTGTAGTTCTGCACTAATCCACGAGGTAGACAGCCCGTTGTATAGTTTTGCACTAATATCCTAGGTAGATAGTCCATTGTGTAGTTTTGCACTAATCTCCTAGGTAGACAGCCCATCGTGTAGTTTTGCACTAATCCCCGAGGTAGACAGCCCCCTGTGTTGTTCTGCACTAATCCACGAGGTAGACGGCTTGTTGTATAGTTTTGCACTAATATCCTAGGTAGACAGTTCATTGTGTAGTTTTGCACTAATCCCCGAGGTAGACAGCACATTGTATAGTTTTGCACCAATCTCCGAGGTAGACAGCCCATTGTGTAGTTCTGCACTAATCCCCGAAGTAGACAGCCCATTGTATAGTTTGCAATAATCTCCAAGGTAGACAGCACATTGTGTAGTTTAGCACTAATCTCTGAGGTAGACAGCTCATTGTGTAGTTCTGCACTAATCTCTGAGGTAGACAGCTCATTGTGTAGTTCTGCACTAATCCCCGAGGTAGACAGCACAATGTGTAGTTCTGCACTAATCTCCGAGGTAGACAACCTATTAGTTTTCACTAATCCCCGAGGTAGACAGCCCATTGTGTAGTTTTGCACTAAAAAAACAAAAAGAGAAACAGTTGTTTGAAAAATTCTATTATTCACTCAGTACAAATCATTTTACACAGCCTGGCTTAGGAAATGTGAAATATCTATAAATAATCATTAATATACTCAGAATTACTAAAAACCTCAGTTGTCAAACAAAACTGCCTTCTTTTAATATTCTACTTACACGGAAAAATAAATTTACTGGAATAAAAAAAATGATAATTAAACAACGATCGAATATTGTTTTTCCCACACCATTCACTTTTATTCGAGAAATAGGAACTAACATCTTGGTGATGGTGTCGACAATGTGCGTGTAGCTGATCAAATCGTGGACATCACCAAGATACACAAGTATCCATTTATCAACGGTTTGATCAGCTACACGCACAACGTCGACACCATCACCAAGATACACAAGTATCCATTTGGTGTCGACGTTGTGCGTGTAGCTGATCAAACGTTGATAAATGGATACTTGTGT